CAAGGTATTGTTGGGGTTCTCAAAATTGGAAAGTGTCTGTCTGATTTTTAAAATGCATGAGTGTTTATTTCGAAAACACTTTAATTGAAATCGATTTTCAAATGTTCTGACACTTAAAAATATTTTACACATACTTGTATGTACTTGTATAATACTTATATTTATTTTAAAGTACCATAGTTCCGTACATTTGTTCTTAATTAGATTTAAGTGCAATATAAAATATGCGTTTAATAAATTTGCTAAAGAACTTTAGAGGAATTGCAATACAATTTATTGTCCAATCCTGTTCACACATGCACATATACGTGTATGTACAGGGTGCGCCATCTTTTATGTCGGTATGCAAACATTGAATATCCTTGAAAATAAACAACCGATTTTCAGAATTTCTCGAACTGAGTTTTTCAACACTGGTCTACTCAAGTCAATCGGTTCCCTAATGACAAAGTTATTCAATATCTACATACCGACATAAAAGATGGCGCACCCTGTATTTATTTTAGGGCTCAGCTTTGTTTGTTCAATTTATGGCGCGGCTCAGTTTTACGAGCCTTCAAGGCTTTTTGGCATTGTCTAAGCATTTCAAATCCGAACATTATTTTTAGACCATGGCAATGTTCTTTAAGCATACTACATTAAATTCCTCTACTCACACATTGAAGCCTAGTGTGCCTCAATTTTTGTTAATATCCGTTCACACATTTCTACTCAAATCTGCACAAAATAAAAAAAAGGAAGCCATATGTGTTGCTAAAACTATTTACATTCAATCACATTTATTTGAAAATTTCAAATTGATTCCAACAAAATAACCACTTAAACCCAAATTGTTGAAAAAAAAATGCTAATACTACATACTACATACATGAATATAAATTTGAAAACTAATAACAATTTTTTGTGTGCTCTTTTTTCTTTGTCTCTTTTCATCAACTAACTTTTGTGCTGTTTTTATGCCACACACACACACACAAACACACTCGTACATACGTCTATACATACATGTGTCTAACACGCTTCCTATTTTTGCGATCATCACCACTAACTACAACAACAACAACAACCATTTCATGTACAAACTTGCCACTCAACTCTAACTAACTAAAAACTTGCAATAAATAATAACGAACATCTGTTCGTCTGTTTGTCTGTCTCTGCTGTCTGTCTGCCACTTTATTTTGTTATGTTCCACACACACATAAACATACTAACACACACACATACACGAACACACAAACCAAACCACAACAACAACAATGATAACAGGCTCTTGCGCGCTGAATTGTATTCGCTGAGACGCAAGGGTGCGCATAAAGTCGGTGTTGGAGCGCCGCTTGATGCTGCCACACAAGCACAACAACAACAACAACAAGTACAACTTCAGTCGCAACAACAACAACAACAACAGAATACCATGCAGCAACAACAACAACTCGAACAAATCGAACAGCTCGAACACAACAATCACAATCTACACGACTCGAGTCGCCACTGCGCCCGTTGCAACACCGAACTGGGCCGCATCACAAATCGTGGGGCGCCCTGTCGCGTTTGCAAGTTGCGCGTTTGCAAAGCCTGTCGCGAATTCACCAAACGCACCACGGATTGGGTGTGTGTGGTGTGCCACAAGCAAATGTAAGTCCAACTCCTGCTCTCTTCCAACTACCACACTCACCTCACATTCTGCCACAACAAGCCACTCTGTAACACGTGCACTGCCAACTAGAACATACTCTCACACACACACAAACACACAATCATTCACTCACTCACACACACACACACTAACACACCATAGCCAGATAAAAAAATGTTGTAAATTGGATGCAACTTTGTATAATTTTGTGATTCAAATTTTTGGTTTTGCATCTCGCGCGACTTTGTTGTGTTTTGTGCGCGACTTTGTAGCGTTTTTAACCGCACATGTGGGCATCTGCAAATTGCACAACATTGCTCGCTATTCTAAAGGTTAAAACTGTGCGCCGACCAAAAAATATATGCAAGGTTTTTATAAATAATTTGTGTGACAAATTTCCTGTTTCTAGCATCTATTTGCAGTTTTTTTAATACCTTAAAAGTTACTCCAAAAAAATATACAAATCTCTTGCATGAAGTGTTTAAATTTGTTTTCATCTCAATTATGATGTCACGTTTTTAATACTTTATTTTTTTATTCATACATTGCTTTGTTAACACAATTCAATTAGATGTTCCTAACAACTTATGGACAAATGTTTGTGAGGAAAGTGCGATGTTTTTTCGTCCTCGCACGATCATGCACGCACACACACGTGCAGCTCCAATTTAAGTTGCAATTTTGTTGTTGTTTTATTTGTTGTTTTATGCAAATATTTTCCAAAAATTGCCAGCTGTTGCTTTACATGCTTTTTTGTTGTTTGTCGCTTCAGAGTTGTTGTTGTTGTTGCTCGTTATTGCCCGCAGTATTCCACTCTTGTTGCATATATTATTGCAAGCTCTTGCGTTTCAGTTTCCATTTCATGCTTCTTATCCTTTTTTTTTATCACCCACAAAGTGCAGCCCTGCTCTAGTAGTTGTTTGCAATCTCATACCCACATATTTTCGTTATAGTGTTCGTTTATGCCCCCAGAACCAACACATGCAACAACAAGCCATTGAAAATTCAATTTGCACGTGAAACCCAAACGAAGCTCTATGCATGAAGTATTGCAGTTTCTGATAATTCCTCTTTTCAATGCGATTGTAGAAACATATTTGCGGGGGTTGGAGCGTTCAGAACGCTTTGAGGACGACTTGATTAAAATTGTGCCTACGCTTACATTGGAATGCCGGAAACTGTTGAAATTTCGAGAGAATTCCGTAGAAGCTTTGTGCATTCTAAGGATGATAAATTAACATGATTATAGGCATTTTTGTGTGGGTGTTTGCGAAATGCATTCGTAACAAAAATGTGCAGCTATGGCAGTTGTACTAACAAGCAAACATTTTCCGTTAGTCAGCTTAATCCTTTTTTTTCATAGCCTATCCTTTAGAAGGTGAACAATAGCCGGCACTCTCTTAATTGTCGTCTTTGAAAGTAAATAGTTAAATTAAAGAAAAAGGGTACATTTCAAAAAGCCTACACATTTTAAAATAAATGTCATCTAACTATTATCAGTATTTAGAAGAATATTCAAATTTCATAAGTACTTTTACCTCCACTTTAAAAACTGTTTAATTAAATAAAAATAAAGATATATAGTATTTATGGGTAAAAATTTGAGATTCCACATTCCATGATTGTTTTCCCTCGAACTTGAAACTTGACTAACAAGGACTGTATTTTTTCAAATGTATTACAAAGTTCGTACAATTTTAAATAAATAAACTTTAGAAAATTCTTACTTATGTTTTTACATTTTGTTTCTATTTGTGTTAAATATTCTTTTGTAACTTTTTTACTGTTTTCGTGGCGAAAAAAATGCTAATACTTTTAAAACATTTTCAAATTTGTAATGAAAATAAATTAAATATTCGTAAAACGAATAATTAATCATGATAGCTATTTATTTTTACTTTTACTTTTACTTTTTTAGAGCTTTAACTTTTTGTCAGTTAAGGAGAAATTTAAATTCGCTTACAGTAAAATGTTGTCTGCAGATTGTTCTTAATTTTAAATTAGTTGAAAAATGCAAACTTTTTAATTTTATTAATGTACTGCTCCATCAAAGTCCGTCTGTGTTGTTTTTCTGGCCAACAGCAAAATATACTGTAAAGAAATGTAAAATATAATGTACAAGTATTTTTAGTTTGACTTGCCATCAGGCAAACCAAGATTAAACAAACTTTATTATAAACATTAGCTGATGAATGAAATAATCATAAATATTACGATATGGAAATAAATTAAAGAAGCAGATTGCATGAAACTTACAATCCCTTATTCTACTTACTGTGCAAAATTAAGTAAAAGGTATATCTATAATTACGTTTATATAAATGTTAAGCATACGCCCCGTGCACAAGCCACAGCCAACTTTTGTTAACACTGTAGCAGTGACACTTAAAAAGGTGCTGATGCTGCTGATGTTGCTGCTGACGTCTGCCTACGCAGCAAACATCTCAGTCAAAGTTCGGCGTTAATTGCCAAGCCCAGGAATAAAGCATAGGCATACGAGTAAAGCAAGGCCAGACAGAAACTTGACTAATTAAAATGTGGCGATGATGAGCGCGGCTGGCACAAATGCAAATTGAGATAACGATTACGATTAAGAGCTGACACTTGGTGGGCTATACATAGAATTTGCGAGGCGTTATTTTAAACAGTTTATGCTGAGGTGTACCGCCCACAAGAGCCGCGCCTCAAGCTGCGGCATTCAACTGTGATTGAGGCTGTTGTAGCCAGACGTGCGTTTTACCAAATTTGGCCAGGCCCGTGGTGTGGCAGAAGTCGCTCGGCAGTGGCCGTCGAGCTACCAAGGCCTAACACCAACTACCAACAATTTGCTGCAAATAAATCGATTTGTGGCCACGGCTGCCGCTGCGGCTGCGGCTGTGGCTGCTGTCGTGTCTGATTGGAATTTTTCATAAACAGACTGGCTGGCTCTGCCTGTTGGCTTCGACAGTTTTTCTGAATGCCAACGACACACAAACGCACACACTCACACACACGCATACACATATTTAAAGAGATAGACGTGTTGACGCCTTCGCCAGCTGCCTCGCCCCCAACCAAACAACCAAGCAACCAACCACCCGTCTTTCTTATTCAATCTTCAGTTTATTGTGTTGGTGTTGATGTTGGTGTGTATGTTTGTTGTGTTGCGTTTAATTTCATTTTTTTATTATTGTTGTTGTTGTTGTTGTTGGTACTCTTAGCTTCCAAGTCAGTCAGTTTGCTGTCAGCAACTGCCGCAGACGCACACAAAATACAGGCGATAGGAAAAACTTTATCCGATATATTCATTACCTAGCACCTACTACTTGTATATGTATAAATATATATACTATATATGTATCAATATCTATTTACCTACCACATGGATAATGTTCGGTGAAGTCTTTTGGTTTCTCAAATGGAATTGGTGTTGTTGTTGTTGCAGGGAGATACAAGCCGCCAGCGGTGAGTGGTTGAAGGACGCCTACACTTTGGGCTCCTGTGGCGCTGTTGATCATCTAAGCACCAGCGACGTGTTGAGAAAGAGTATACGACGCTCCTGGACCATATCAAGTGAGTGGCTCAAAAAATAATAAAATATTACTTCTACTGTTTAAAATCTTTAGAGGTTGGTGTTTTTTTTTCTATTTGAATTTAATTGAAATTTAATTTGGAAAATAGATAGAAGAACTCTTTGATTAACAGAATAAACGAAACCCAATAGGAAAGTATATTTAACGAATTGTATTATTCAATTCAAAAAATTGGCAAAATAAGGATTAGATATGAAATAGATATCTGTTTGTTATTTTGAATTAAATGAGCTTTAATTGAATTGAATTGAAATTTAATCTGGAAGATAGATAGAAGAACTCTTTGATTAACAGAATTAATGAAAGCCAATAGGAAAGTATATTTAACGAATTGTACTATTCAATACAAATATTTGGCAATTTAAGGACTTACATCTAAAGTAGATATCTGTTAGTTATGTTGAATTAAATGAGCTTTAATTGAATTGAATTGAAATTTAATCTGGAAGATAGATAGAAGAACTCTTTGATTAACAGAATAAACGAAACCCAATAGGAAAGTATATTTAACGAATTGTACTATTCAATACAAATATTTGGCAATTTAAGGACTTACATCTAAAATAGATATCTGTTTGTTATTTTGAATTAATTGAGCTTTAATTGAATTGAATTGAAATTTAATCTGAAAGATAGATAGAATAACTCTTTCATTAACAGAATAAACGAAACCCAATAGGAAAGTATATTTAACGAATTGTACTATTCAATAAAAATATTTGGCAATTTAAGGACTTACATCTAAAATAGATATCTGTTTGTTATTTTGAATTAAATGAGCTTTAATTGAATTGAATTAAAATTTAATTTGGGAAATAGATAGAAGAACTCTTTGATTAACAGACTAAACGAAAGCCAATAGGAAAGTATATTTAACAAATTGTACTATTCAATAAAAATATTTGGCAATTTAAGGACTTACATCTAAAATAGATCTGTTTGTGATTTTGAGTTAATTGTGCTTTAATATTAAAGAAATTTGGTGGCACTTTACTTCTAAATCGATTAAATGCAGCTTTGAAACTCTGCAGTTATAGCCTTAACTATAAACACCAGCTTATACTAATTATAATTCTGTTCTGATTTAGATCCCGAGGACGATCCGAACAATCCGAACGCACAACAACCCGTTGCCGACAATCTCTATCCACAGCAGCAACACCTTATCGAAGCCCAATCGGCCGGCAGCTATCCCTCGCTGACGCATCATCAGCCTCAGACGCGACATCAGCACCACATCAACTACAATACCGGTAGTGCCATCGGCATCAGTGGGATTGGCACCAGTGTACCCGCCCCCGCGCCCAGCAAGTGGCAAATAGGCAGACGCGTGCTGCGTCAATCAACGCTGCCCAGCACGCTGAATAACGATCCGAATCTTAGTGGCAGTGGCGCCAATTTGGCCAACTATAATTCAGTTAATTTGACAGCACCCACATCCCCGCATCAGCTCCAAAAGAGTCCGCTCTATCCGAGTGCTTACAACAGCGACGACGTCATCCACATGAATACAAGTGATTGCGACAACTACGTGCAGCAGCAGCAGCAACAACAACCCGTGACCGTACAGGAGCCAAGTGGCATAGTGACGCCCACGCACCATCGTTTGCAGGTGAGAACTAAAAGATTTCAATTTATTGGCATCTAGAAATGTACACAAGTAAAGCTTAGAGTGTCTTCGTTTTAAAGGAGCTCATCAGAGTTCAATATTCTTTCAAAGTCAACTTTTAAGCAGCTTTCATGTTTTCTTGCATCTCAAATGCTCACTAGTCTCTTCCTTTTCCCTGCAGGCTTTGCAAGCGGTGTCCTTAATTATTATTAGTTGTGAGCCTTCGAAATGGGAATACAAAGCTATGTCGGCTCTGATTCAATTCTGTCTCATTAACAATCCTAAGAGTTTCTATGTGTTCTTTGCCTCTTTTGTGGAGCTCTTCCTTAAACACAAATTCCGCTTAGCTTCTAAGCTGTGCCATCGCTACTTTAATGCATTGTGTTGCGCTCAGATGCCGTCGTTTAGCAATTTTGTTTATAAAAATCAAACTTAAAGCAGTCAATAAACTCTGGCTGCTTGATCTATCCGTTTTTAAGGACGATGACGGGCTCAAAACTTTCCATAACACCATGCCCCTGCCCCGACGTTTGAACCCAGCCAACCCTTTCTGCATTTCCGACACTCTTCGACGCCTTACTTATTGCTCTTAAAGCTCACGAATTGCTCTTTATATAGTCACAAAACAGTAGACTATTTCACTTATCGTGCTTCATCATATTTGCAGGTGCGTCGCCAGTCTACGCTGCCTGCTAATCCATGCCAGCCCACACCCTCCATCTACATGTCCACCTCGCCGAATCGCGTGTACAGTCGCTCGCCGGAGCGCTCGCCGGGTGATCAGCAACGTTATCCACCCTTCATGCGCCAGACCTCGTTTCCCTGCACGGACTCACCAGCCAACTATGGCAGTCCACAGCAGCAGCCACAGCCACTGTCACATCATCGCACCAAACTATTGCCCAGCACCGCCAACCTGCCCTCAAATCAGTCAGCAGTAGTGCAGCAATCGAATCCGGCAGCCCCGCCACTCAACTACGACTCACAGGCCTCGAGCATGGCCAGCGACGAAATGGATTATGGTCAACAGCCTATGCCGAAGCCACGCATGATGCGTCAAGCCACGCTGCCCAATCCCGATCAGCATGTCAAGCTGTTGCCCACATCTCCACCCAAGCGGCAGACATCACCACAATTTCGGCGCTCGCCCGAGTTCATGCGCCAGCAGACACTGCCCAATCCGGAAGCTTTCACGGGCAACACCCTGACCGTGCATCCGCCACCAGGCCCCAATGTACCACCCGCCAAATTCATGCCTATCTCACCGCGCAGCAAGCAGAACTTTCTCTTCCCCAGCGTCCAGAATCCGCGTCAATTCCTATCTCAGCAAAATGTGCCGACTGTGGGCACAGAACTCGGCAGCGGTGGCAGTGTGGCCAGCGGCGCAGGCGAACAATATTCCAGCAGCCAGAGCGTAAATATTCACTCTCGTGATCCACACTCCAAGATGATCAAAGTGCGCAGTCACAGTAATGAGGAGTACTCCAATACCAAGGCACATGTGCATGCAGAGAGTCGACGTTTGTTACCCGAAATACCCACGGGCCAGCGCTCGATGAGTCGCTCGCCCAGTCGACTGGTGCGTCAGGATTGCCTCAAGGATGATCACGGCTCGCGCACCTTCGGCGAGGCGAAGCAGCAGTTCCATCAGTTCCCCGACGTCACCGAGGAGCTGGAGAATCGGCCCGAGTATGCAGATTACTTTGGTGATAGCAGCACCAGTTTCCTGGAAGCCGAAGAAGTCCAGTACGAGAAGAACTACAATGCTGGCTTTAGCAGTGAGCCGCGCATCATCTACAACGATGGCTCAGACGAAGGTAGCTATCAGCCGAATCAACGCCCCATGGTCTACAGTGCCGAGACTGTGTTGACTGCTGAGGGCAGCTATGGCGGAGCTGGTGGTGGCGTGGGTGGCTATTATCCAGATATGGGCACACCACATGGCATGCACGGCGGCGCGGCTCTGCCACGGACTCCCCAAATGCACAATCGTTTGCGCAGACGACAATCAAGAGAGTTACAAATGCAACAGGAAGAGCTCGCCCAATTGAGTGGCCTAGCCGGTACCCACGATATGGGAAACTCCACTCTAGCAGCTCCCAGCGCTCAGGATAGCAATACTGAGCAGCAAGAGCGTCGCAAGCCGGAACAAAAAATGCGCTCCGTATCCGAGGATTCGGGCGCCAAAACCGCGCCCAAGCCAGTCACAAGACGCTCCTTCTCACATCCCGAGAAGGATACACAGGTGAGTGAGGTGAAAAGAGTGTAACTAATTAAAAGCGTCCATTAATGATAAAGAAATTCTGACAGCGAAAGCAGTAATCGCTTTGAAAAGCTACCATTCGTTTGATACGATTTTAATCATATGAGAATTTTCTTACCAATAAACGTTTGTTCTAGTATTTAGATTTAATTAATGACATTTTAAATTCACAACTAACTCTTAAATAATAAAAGTTGGGACAAATGATCGATTAATGGATAATAGCTTGGCAACAAAAGTAAAGTATAGCTTTGAATACAACTTCATTAAAGTTTTCAGACTATCGATAAGATATATAGATTTTAAACAATCCTACTTAGGCTGTATTGATTGGTGAGTTTTTACATACTATATTATTACAAATATTTTAAATAAAAATTGTTTTGAATGTCGCAGTAAATTATGGAAAGATAAGGAAATAATCAATTGAAAAAATAAGAAAAAGGTAAAGAGAGATTGGAGTAAATATTTCCTTTTAATTTTTTAAAATATCAAAAAATTTGGCAACTGTACTGCAGAGAAATAAACTTTTAATACATCTTTTCCGCAGTTTAAATAATTATGCTTAGGATGTTCGAGTATTTGAATATTATTACAAATATTTTAAATCAAAATTATGTTGAATATCGCAGACAATAATGGAAAGGGGAATAATCACTTAATTGCGAGTTATAAATTTTTAAAGATTCAACAATTGTGCTGCAGAGAAATAAGATTTTAATACCTATTCTAATTTTCAAACTATGGATAAAGACCAACATCATTCGCTCTCCACGCTTTAAGCAATTTTTATCCAAGATCAGTCAAGGATTTCAAACATTTATTAAAAATGTATAACTTATCGCAAATAATCGAAAACTGTGGAAATATCCCACAATTTTATAATCGCATAGCAGCACTACTACAAGTAGAAGTGCTGTTTAGAAACCCTTGAAGCTTATTAATGTTGCTACCCTAATTAGATGCTTGTTATAATATAAAAAATACCCATATAATGGTACATTTTAAATTAAAACTCTGAAAAACCAATCCAGATCAAAAGTTCTGGAGCTGCAAACCTTTCTCTAAATCAAATATATAACGTTGAACATAATCGAACATGTTATTTTCCAGCCACCAAAGAAAATGGAACCCTCTAAAATTCCCAGCCCCCGTCCCCTGGCTGACATTCTAGACAAGACACGTGCTGGGGCCTCCAAAATTCCACAGCCCCGTCGGCGTAACAGTCGCGCCGGCATTGGAGATGACGAAGGTAAGTTCGTAGTGCATTTGCGTAGCTGCTTTTTTGCACCGGCACGCCAAGCCATCCACTAAAGTGGACGGCAGTAGAAACCTGTAGTTATCCGATACATAAACGGCTTTTGCACCCTTTGCCATCTCTTCCCCCGCCAACAACAAACAAACACAAACGTTGTTGAACCCACAGGTAGCACACACCAACATCACTACTCCTTCCATCAACTCCTTATGCATAGAAATTCAGAATCAAACATGCGAATGAACAAAACGCCACTTCCTGTCGCATCCACAGCCGCTAAGGATGACGAAGCCCACAAGTCCCAAGAGACGGCTACGGCTGCGAATGATGTCAAGGATGCGGACAAAGACACAAGCGGCGCAGCGGTAAGTCTTCTCCGTGTACAACTAAATAATCCTGAAGTCTTGTAACATACTCTCCTTTTATGTCCTCCCATCTAGACGGGCGCCCACACCAGTACGCTCGGGGAACAGGAGCTGCAGAATGCAGTGGAAGCGGCAGCCGTTGTCTTCAAGAAGGTTGTCCTGCAGCGGCGCAAGGAAAAGGAAAAGGCTGCCGAAGAGGGTAAGTGCTAATGATTTAGCATTTCTGTGTCATTTTACATTAAGTACCTGTATATACAGTGAAGGCTTCCATGGCGGACATATCATAGAATATATTGAGAGAAATATTTCAATGCAATTATATCTCTCTGTTGTTTTTTTGTGGTTTTATTTGTCGAATTTTTATCTGATAGAAAATATAAATGTATAAATCAATATACGCCAACAAATTCAAGTAACACAATCATATTTAAATCCAAAGCATAAAAGGCTAAGTTGAATTGGCTCTACACAAGAGAATTTCTATCAATCTTGTTTAAATTAAGCTTTGCCAGGCATGGTAGGGATTTCATTTAAATTTTTACGAGTTGTCGTTTAAGTTCAAGTGTTTTTTTTTTATCAAAATGTAAGCTCGCGATTTCAAAATGTAGACCCCGTTCTATGCACTGTTGAAATGTGCGCCAAATGGAAGTTTTCACTTTATATTTAAGGTGTGGGTGCAATTGTGTTCTTCTTTTTTTGTGTGTATGTGTCGTTTCTAATTAGCTGGTATGGTCTAGGTAATGGTAATGGCGATGGTATCTCCAACTAACAAACTCGTTCACTCTGTGTTGGGTTTCGCTTTTTGTCTAATTTTGCACAATTAATTAAGCTGCTTCCACCTGGTCGCCAATGTCGTCGCTGTCCTCGCCTATTGTCGCTTTGTAAACGCTCAAGTTTCTCCAGTCTCTCCCCGTCGCACTCTCTTTATCTGCCTTGGTCGGCACTTATTAACTTTGTCATTATCAGCGGCTTACAACGCCATCAGCAGCGCCAACAACAACAAGCACTGCAAAGAAAAAGCAGTCAACGACTTCATGTTCCTTGTCATCTAAAGGCAAGGATAAATAATTTGTTTGGCCACTCAATTTAAATCATTTAGCCAGTCACTTAACTTAAAGAGAAGCACACAGATTTATAATTGAAACGAATTGAAACAAAAGTATTTGAAGTACGTATTAAAAATAATAATGCTAATACTAATAAGAAACTATTTGGGAAGGAATCACATAAATAAAATACTTACACACCTCAATGAATCGAATTGACAAATTAAATTGGAGTTATTCGATCATTTTGATGTCGTATTAAACAGTAAGCTTAAGTCTGGCTTCCTTATATTTACACTTAAAAACCAGACCTTAATTATCTGCATATTTTTATTTAACAAATATAATTCAAAGTTATAATTGCTAACACTTCTGGACTCTCTAAAGTTTATATTTTTCACATCACAGTTCAAGAGTTTTCTAAACTTATTTTGAAACAATTTTTCACGCGGCCTAGAAGTATGCTACACTTTTTGTTCACCTATCCAGCGCTTAAGGGATTTGTACAGCAGACAGAGCACTTTATTACATCTTTCTTGTCACAGCCATTTTGTTTTTGCCTGCCTGAGCGGTGCTAATAGTTGCTTAGGGACTTCCGCCATGGCTTTGGCTAACTGTCGGACAGCTTTACATGCTCTATACATACGTCCATACTTGTAAGAGGCGTGTAAGTAGGAGTACGGTCTGGCACTTCAAACGAATTTTCCACGCAAAATTAAGCACAATACAAATATAAGCCGCAGGCAAAAGGAACTGAATTTTCTCGCCCACCTTCCGGCCACTTCAAACTGTTTGCTCTAATATCTGTGTGTGCGTCTGTGCCTGTGTTTGCTTTGACATTTTTGCGCAAAATGGCAGGCAATTCATAAATCGGCCCACGCAGCCGCCATGCGTCAACAAAACAAAACAAAAAAAAAACATTTCTGCTAAACTTTATGCGAATATTGCGTGGTCGTCATCACAGCGACCGAATGCCCCCATTTTGTTTGGCTTCAGCCGGCTACGCCGACGCCTTTCAGCTTTTGTTATGTTTTAATTCGGTATTTTCTGTGTGTTTATTTGCTTGTGGCTGCCGTCAGCATCGCACATGCCGCATGCCGCATGACACACGTGCAGCAAAACGACACGTCGTCCCCGCTTCCTATATTTTCTTCACAAAGCGCAAAACTTGCAGCCTCAAAGCAAAGCCTTGCCAATGTCTGGCTGGACCGGCTGACAAAAATGTGTATGCCCCGCTAATCTTATCTCGAGAACCTACTGAGTGTGGGTTGTGGCACATTCAACACTCCCAGCACTGTTGGAATGAGCATTTTTGGGTGCTACCCTCTCCTCCCCACTGTACTCGTATATGTTAAGCCCTTGCAACTCACATTTACCATGCGCTGTAGAAATTGTTTGCTTTACGTCTACCCGCAAAATGTTTCGAAGCTGTTGCACGTTACCACATATTGGAATTGAGTTGTTGTTGCCAAATACAAACACTTGATGCCGTTCTCAATTGAGCACCAACGAACGCCCAATACAACACAAAGTGGCCGCTTCAAAAGCCTTTCGGCAGACTTTGGTATGCACTATAAATATTAATAAATTGCAGTGCAGGGACTCATCTTTTTGCAATCCGATTTAGAAATTGCCTAAGTAAACATTTCTGACCAAACCACTAAGGATAGAGATTTGAAAAATGAACTTAAGTTTCCTGCAGTAAGTGAAGAGAATGAAGAGAAAAACAACACTTGAAAGCTTTAATATTTTAATCAAAAATGGTATTTAAAATTGCATGACAAAGATACATAAAATTGAAAACAAATGATTTCAAAGCTTTTTTGCTCTGATTTAGTTAATTCTATTTTGTAAAAACTTTCACTCGACATTTTACATTTAGTTTTCAAATGTTTGTTAAATGTTTTCTATTTATTTTTATATTTAATATTTAGATGGCTTCCACCAGCTTTGGCCGTTATGTTATTATTTGATACCAAAAGCTACAAAAAATAAAAACCAAATAGCAAGCAATCCCTTCAGTCCGCACACTTTTCAACCACCAAGTTTTGGAAAGTCAGTTATAATCTACTTCATTCATTTAATTGTAACAATCTTTCGAAATATATTTTGGGAACTTAAAAACATTTCTTACATTGCCAACATTATGATCTAAATTTCGGAAACAAGTCCGTTTCAAGCATTTTCGAGTTATGTATTCAGATACTACTTATATCTTCGAAACTACCTGCAATTATTGAGGCTGTATCAGACTATATATCGTACATATAATTATAATTATGAGTGATACTAAATTTATATAAAAATACATAAATAATAATAAATTTTATCCACTGTAAAAAGGTAAAGGGGTTTCTTAACACTACTAATATTTATGTAAATAATACATTGGGATTTCATGATTTTGCGTATCACTAACCGGTGTAGTTTACTTTGCCTCACTGTATAGTAGTTATATTTAAGCGCTTGACCCATGGCTAAATCATTATCATTCTGGTGCTGGTATGAAGAGTAAGCTAACAAAAACCACCCTAACCATAATCGTAACCCTAGCCCAATAGCGCACTGTTTGTGCACCTGCGAAACCAGTATTTGGGTAAATATTAACCCTAGAGTGGTGTTGGTAACCAACCGTCAAGCTTCAACAACTTCCGGCAACTGTCTAAAATGAAAACGAAATCCACCCCGCTACTTTACAGCTCTGCAGCACGAGCAGCGTCAGCTGGCGGTCATTAGCGATGATGCCATGGAAACCTCATCAGAACTGGACTTTAGGGTCACAACAACGGCCCACAACAACAGCACCGGCAACAGCAGCGTCGGTCCGTCTCAGTATAGTGTTGAAGCTGACGAGTTTAAGCTCGTCTTTCTCAACTCGGATTCATCATCGTCGTGCAAAGAGGAAGAAGAAGAAGAAGAGGAGGAGGAGGATGATGAGGGCGATTATACCGATACGGGATCAAATTCTTCATCAACACAACAATGCCACAGCATAGTGAGCAATGTTGAGGACTGCGATTGGGATTACTTTGAGCCCTCGATGATTGCAACCAGCACCACAACGACTACCACCATGATTGCCTATGCCTCTAATTCCAATTCCTCCACGACGCCCACACGTCCGCCTAGCTTGCGTCGGCAATCACATCAACGTCAGCGCCAGTCTAGCGATAGCAACACCAACTCCCCCCTGGACTCGCCTCTGCTGCAACGCCGCCAGCTGCGAAGCTATTGCTCCCAGATACGTGAGAGCGACACCGGCACCGATGAGGAGCTGCTGATGCAGGGTGGGGAGAGCAGCTCCCAGACCAGCTCCGATGGCCACTATGCCAAACAGCAAACATCAACAACGAGCTCGCAGCTACCATTGGGCATCAAGGCGCGGCTCAAGGCGCGTTTCCTGAGTAAGGAGCACCACCACAAGCACTCGGTAAATCGTTGCAGCTGCAATGCTCAGCAATTACAACAGCAACAACAACCACCCCAACAACCACAATATGTGCCCATACCGGTGCCTGTCCCCATACCAGTGCCGATGGCCGCCTATCACAACTGGCAAATGGACAGCTTCGCCTCGGCCGGCACACCTCTGCACACACTCGAACAGGACGAACATTTCTGTGCCTCGTTGCAGCAATTATGGCAGGCAGCGGCGGTTGCAAGCGGCACACCACAGCAGCAACAACAACAGGCCGCAGTGGCTGCGGCCGCTGTGGTGGCTGCCTACTCAACAGCGGCCAACAATTACCAGCAGCAATTCGCCGCGGCCAGCAACATGTTCGATCCAACGCCGCCGAGCACAAGTCGAAGTTGCCAACAATTGCCTACGACGGCTGCGCAGCTGAATCCGCTCAGTACTCAGCGTCAGCGTTTGGCCGGTTTTAAGTCCTCGGCGCCGGAGCTGAGCGCCTCGCTGGGCTCACTGATGACGCAGTCGCTCTGCTCGAATGCCTCATCAGCGTCGTCGTCCGGTTACAGCAGCCAGGCAGGAGGGGGAAGCGTCGGACAGCAGCCAAGCACAGCCGGCAGCCTGGAAACTTTGGACACGACCAGCTCGACGCGCCGAATTGGCCAACAGCGGCAACAGCAGCAACAACAGCCAACAACATTGGCAACAAGTTTAGTAGCATCGCGTTCGCCGTCGTGTGAACAACAACAAGCGCGTCTCGTCTCGTCGCCGGTCGTCTCTAATTTATCGACCGATGCCGCTACGCCCACAACAACATTGAGATTGTGTAATGCGCGCGATAAATGTGAAAATAACAACAACAACAACAGCAACAATAACAGCCATAATTATAGAGCTCTAGTCACACAAACGACTGATAAGCGGGACGCGTTTGCAACTGCAACGGCGGCAACAGCAGAGCTAGAAAAAGCCCACGAAGCTGAGCAAAATTTCAAATTATTGGCAACACACACACGTACAGGTAGACAAACTTACCTGGCAAGTGAACAAAGTGTGGACGCAGCGGCAGTGTCGAGGGGTAGATCAGTGGAAGTGGAAGTAGACATAGTCGAAAAAGAAGCAGACGAAGCAAATATACATAAAAATCAAGTACCAAGCACAGCAACAGCAACAGCAGCAGCAGCAGCAACAACTACAACTACAATAGCAACCACAGCAGCAGCAACAGCAACAACAACAACCACTTGTAGTGCTCCTGTGCTAATAACTCGTTTGAGCGTCAGCGTGAGCGCTGATACCGCAGCCCGCAGCCCGCTGCCCACGCCAAATGAAGTTGCAGTCGAAAATGTTGCTGCCAAAACGGCCAGCAGCAGCAAAAGCAACAGCCACAACATTAACAGCAGTGCCTGCAACAACAGCAACAACACAAAACAATCGCTAGACAAACGCCCAGAAAATCAAACAGAACATGTCACCACAAAAATAGCGACAAGAGCGACGCCAACGAAAAATCGAAATTGTTTAATTAAAAATCAAACAGCAACAAATATGTCGCTGCCAAGTGCCGACAATATTGAGGGTGAGGAGCAGCAACGATTGCTCGATGCTGGCTACCTCCGCAGCGAAAGTTATTGCAGTGCCGATGAGGCATCCGCAGCCAGCAGCGATGAGGATTTAGGCGGCCAGGGTGCGGCAGGCAAGCCCCGCATGGCCGTGCAACGCAGCTATGATGTGGCAGTGGCCATGCAAGAACAGCAACACCAACAGCAACAACAAGAGCAGCAACACCACAGCACCACCGATGAGGCCAGCAGCAATAAGAGTAGCAGTAGCAGCAGCAGTGCCAGCAGCTCCAGTTCAGAGTCCTGTGACTCCGATGATACCGGCACTGTGGCCGATCGCCGACCCAAGCGTCGTCGCTTCAATAAGGTGTTCGTTGTTAATCGGGGTGTGGGTGGTGGTGCGGGTGCACGTGTGCGGCGCCACAGCTCTAGCACCGAAGGGGACTCGCTCTCCTCCTCCTCCGACGCCAATCTAGAAGATTCGTCGGACAATGATACCGATACGGAGCGCACAGATTGCGGCATAGTGCTAAACTATGTTAAGCAGTTGAAGGAGGAAGATGAGGAGTCGAAGGAGGAGGAGGAGAAGAGAGCTGATGCTGACGCTGACGCTGAGGATGATGACGACGATGAAAGTGAACGCTTGCCGGCCAACTCAAGCGTTGAGCTTGCCAACTGCATTGTTGTTGTGGGCGGCTGCACCGACAATGCTGATGTTGTGGTGCTGCAAGGCATGCGGGCATTAAATGCCGAAGAGGGGAACGATATTGGTGGCACACTTGCCAAGAAAGTGCCAGTTGCCGTGCCAGAGCAATCAGAGCAATTAAATGAACTAGAGAACGCAGATATGAGCGCCTTGCAGGCCTGCGATGAGCTCCACAGCATTTCCAACGATGTCAATCGCTTGCTGGCCCTCCATAAGCAGAATTCCCAACTGGAACTCAAGCTCCAACAGTTGCGACGTGGTGTGGCCGAAATCAATGAGGATCATTTGACTGGCACTGGTGTGGCTGCCACCCCCAGCACTAGCAGCAACGAGTGCCCGCAGGTGGTGGCGAAGCCAACTGAGTGCAGCGACAAGTCGACGGACGCCCTCTCTGCGGATTTGTTGGCATGCAAGAGTGAGCAGAGCAGTGTGGCAAACACTTCCGAGAAGCACAAACAAAATTCTAATGACGACATACAGCAACGAAAGCCAACACTAAAAGTTTCAGTTAACAAAGAAGAAGAAGAAGAGCAAGAGGAAGAAGCAGCTGAAAAGGTAACCGGCATTGCTGATGATGAAGTTGTTTATGACGATTATTTGCTGCTTAAACAAGCAAACGAAGAGCAGAGCACAACAACAACAAAAACATCTACCTGTGAGCGGCAGCAGGTAAAAGCAAACAGCGATAATAAACTGGCAATGCGAACAGCTGTGCAAACCAACAAAAACAACAGCAACAACAACAGCAACAGCGTCGGATATAAAAACAGCGAAGGGGCCACAACAAGCAGCAGCGAAGCGTGCAAAATAAACGAGCAACAGCGAAACGACAGCAACAACAGTGCCAGCGTCAGTGATGTTGATTACTCGCTAACTTCACTAGCAACAACAGCAACAACAATAACAGCGAGTAAAGCACCTGAGCAGGTAAACAGCAGCAGCAGAAGCAGCAAGAGCGATAACACCAAGAGAGACAAACAACAGAGAGAGCAAGAGCCGTCACTGGCACTACCTGTTGCTGCTGTTGTTGTTATTGCTGCTGCTGGTGCTCATGGCCAAGCCGACTGCGCAGCCGAAGTGAAGTCGAAGTCACAACAGCAATGGCCGGCAGTTGAAAATGAAATGTTAAACGTTGCGGTTGACGAACAAAACGCGCGCGTAACTAAAACGAAAAACAATAACAACAACAAAAACAATACGAACAACAACAAAAGTAACGATAATAATAGTGAACATTATGACGATTTCGCAGCACAAAAGACAAAAACTGAAAACGATGAATTTGTTGTTGTTGTAGCCGCTACCACCGCAGCTGGCGATGATGACGTAGCAGCGGGCCATAACTTAAATGTGAATGTAAATGCGAATTCGAATGTGTGTGTAGATACGACGTCGCGTGTGCTTGAAAGTTGTGAAAACACGTTAAAGCCACGGATGGGTGGCGGCGGGTTGTGCGGGGCGGACAACGATTACGATAAAATATTTGGGCGAAACGACAATAAATACAAAGAATTGCCAATGCAAGCTGCAGCAACAACTACTTCTACTATATCTGAAGCAATTGCAACAGCAACAACATCAACGACAACAACAAAGCAGGCACTACCAATCACTGCTGCTGCACCTAAAAATTCGCTTTCAGCCAAATACCGTAGCCTAATAATGATTACAAAAGACAATGAAAATGCAACACCAGCAGCAACAACAACAACAACACCAGCAACTAGAACAACACTTTGTACCGCCGCGACTACAAAAGCCTTGGCTGATTATGAAATAGCCAATAACAATAAGTTGCTAATGCAGAGCCTTAGTCTCTCCATGCTAGGCGATGAGTCATTCCCGTATAGTGCCAGTCTTGAGGAGCAGCGCGTGACGCCAACACCATCGCAAGTGAGTGAACGCGAATCATCGCGTGATTCCTACAGCGTGGATTCACTGAACAACGAACCCTTCAGTCCGAGCACGAAGCTGGTGCTGGACGATGGCCTTGCCGATGATGATTCCTGGGTGGAGGAGCTCAGCCAGCGTGGCGATGAAGATGATTTGAGTAATGCCACGACCACGCCCACAGCCACCGATTCAGAGGATGCTGAGGGCGATGGCGACTTGACGCGTGCACTCTATGCAGATCGTGAGGAGGAGCTGCGTGGCTATCATCGGTCGGCCATTGATTTTACGCTGCACACGATTGTGGAGGAGAGTTGCGAGGAGAGCGAAGTGGCCTCCACTAGAGCTGACAACGAGCTGGATGCTGAGTGCGACGGAGAGGAGGAGGAGCTGGCAGAGCGAAGACGTCAGCGTACATTGCAACACCATCATCGCCTCTCTGCCTCTGAGCTGGAGAAATATTTCTTCTTTGGTCTGGGCGATGGCAAGGTCATGAGTTCCATAGACACCCGTGGCGATGACACAGCCTCAGAAGTAAGCAGTGAGTGCTCCGAGAGCTTGGACTCATTGCCGCACGAGGAGCAGTTGCTCGATGGTGGCAACAGTGCTGCCGACCTGGCTTCCTCACGGCTGGAGAAATACTTTCTCTCCGGTTTTATGGGTTTCAGTGGTGGGGAGAAGCAAGCGGCAGACAGCGACGAGAGCGGCGGCAGTGTGGGCAGCGATAGCGAAGGACATCCCAGTCCCAGTCAAAGACGCAAGCGCTTAGTGCGAGCTCGCGGCACACCCCGTTCCCACAACTCCTCTCTCGACAACTTGCTGCTAACCGAAACGGCAGCTGGCTCAAATGATACGCTAGATGCAGCGGCCACTGCTGTGGATGATACCTCCGAGTCGGAGGCGGGCTGCGACGATACGGTCATACATATGATCAGTGCTGGAGAGCGAGCATCGGATGGCAGCTCTTCAGACACCATAAAACGGAAGAAGCAATTGCGCAAACGCCACGACTCACTCGATGAGAAGAAGCTGTTGCATGAGGCAACGACTGGCGAGACCGGCGTAGGTGCCACCGAGTGTCGCACGCCCACACCAGGCGCCATGGGCATGGGTGTGGGTGTTGGTGGGGCTGGAAGTGTGGCGCAGGCACAGGCCAAGAAGCAGCAGCAACATCATCATAGTCGAGACAGCGGCTTTGTGGGCAGCAACGATGACTTACTCAAGAGCCCCGAATTTGAGGGCAACAATGCCAGTGGCAGCAAATCTCCTACACAGGCGCTGGAACAGATTACCGAGGATCGCGAGTTGCCGCCAGCGTCGCCAACTGTACTGCTGTTGCCCAAGGATGAACAAGCCAGCACATCAGCGGAGGGCGCCACACGTCGGGCGAACGTAACACTATTGCCTCCCGTAACCATCAGTTCGAATCTGGTGCGCAAGGATAGCTTCAACAATTGGAGTTCCGATGAGGAGACCAATCTCATGATGTCCAAAATGCGGCAGTTCTTCAAAACACTCATAGTGGCCACAGCGAATGCGCAACAGCAGAGTTCCAAGCCCCCCACGCCCAATCAAACCACGCCCACAGCCACTACACAGAGCACACCCAGCTCCATGCGTCGCATGACACGCAACCGACCCGCACAGCTGGTCTATTTTGAGAACGAACTGACGCGTCTGATGAAAACGGTGCCCGGCATTAATGACGACCAAGTGCGTGAGATAGTCGAGTATCTGAGCAGCGAGGATACCTGGTCGGATTCCTACGATTCCTCCGATTATACCAGCTCGGATCCAGAGGGCGAGCACAAGGGTCAACTGAAGGCGCAAATTTCGGCGAGCTGTCAACAAATTATCAACAAGTTCGAGGTGGATGAGGAGGGAGTGCGAGGCGATGGTGGACTGTTGGATGAAACGCATGCTTTGCATGGACTACACGGCGAGACGGCACTGGTCTATCAGAAGCTAGTCGCCTCCTTTTCAAAAGTGGCCGTGGGCCATGTCGAAATGGTACCTGATGTGCAAACAGCGCCTGAGAAGGGCCCCGAGGACCAGGATCAGGCATCAACAGGTAGCTCTCGTTCACCACAACTCTTCGCCAAGGTTATGCAGCACATTGGCACACGATTGGTGGCTCTGATGCACGAGGTGAGCAGCGGCAATGAGACGCCAACGCCAGCACCCAGACAACAGCCACATCATTACCACCACCATCATCATCATCACAAGCAGCGGTTGCAGGCCAAAATCTCGGCCACCACCACGGAAGATGAAGAGGAGGAGGAGGAGCAACAGCAGCTAAAAGATAAACCGGAGCAAGTCAAGTCCCTGGCCATCAAGCCAGCTTCACATCACACGGCTTATCAGCAATTGAAGCTGCGCAGCAAGTCACACGATTTGCTCCTGGACGGCACACCCGCCAATGCACATCCGCCCGCTTCCAACGCCAGCTCATCTGCAGGTGGCGTCAGCCAACGTCCGCACCACCATCAGTCGAGCAGCGGTGTGAGCGACACCGCTGGCGAGGAATGCGGCATGGCGAGCGATTATGAGCGCTTCTCTTGGCGCGGCAGTTTTGAATCGGCATTACTGGCTAATGGCGACTCCAGAACGAAGCTCAGTCAACTAGATCGGGACAATTCATCATCTGCGTCCGCTTTGGCAGTAGCAAAGCGCCGATCGGCAGGCGATTTATTGTTCAACCATCAGAGCTTAAGTCGCGAGCAATTGGATCGCGTGCGCTCCTGTGGCAGCATTGGCGGTGGCGACGCCCATCATCATCAGCTCGAGGCAGCCCCCGCCAAGCCCTGGCTATCCTCTTCTGTCTCCTCCTGCAACGACTCCGCCAAGGATGTGCGACGCTCCAGCGTGCCCGACGCCATCTACGAGACGGACTCCAGCGATGAGGGTGGTACACCACAATTTGCCGGCAACCGTTCCACCTTGCCACGCAGCCTAAACGGCGCTCAGGTAGCCAGCACTAACTCGTTACCCCGTCTTCCTACCACCTCGACGGGTGTGGCCATTACCAGCACACCCATGACCAAGTCGCAGAATGCGCTCAATTACACACCATCCTCTACAGCGTCGACGGGCAGTGCCAAAAGTGCACGCTATCGTTCGCCCGGCCTGGCGGCACGTGCCGCAGCCGCCTCCGCAAGTGGCAGCGGTGGCTCTGCTGCCGGTGCCACATCAGTCAGCGGTGGTGGCAAGAAACTGGGCGGCGGTCTACAACAGTTCCTCTACTCGAAGCGCGACGCTCGCAAGCGTTTGAATATGTCAGCGGGTGAGTTGCTATTAACTTTAATCGTTGCCACACCTAGGGCGCTCCAAATACTACCGGGTGGTCGATACACTGAGAGAAAACTAAGTGTAATGCTATCTGAAATTCGACAATTAGAACTCTATTCAGAATGTATGTATTACAATAATACAGGGCCGTCACATGCTATCGAGGTCGTCGTGTTATATTATTTTCATATTTATTGGTTATATAGGTAACACGATTATAGATGTAACATTTTCTAAATAATATATTTTTAAAGTTTGTCAAATCAAATGACTCAGAACCTTTAAAATGCAATCAATCATAAAAAGAACAAAATTTGAAATAGATTTTAAAATTTGTTTACTTTTTTTTAAAATGCCTCAATTACTCAATTAAATCATTTAATTCAGATGAAATTTTATGCAATTTTGCTCAGATAAAACACAAAATTTAACTGCATTTTTCGGTAGAATTTTCTCTTGATTACAGTTGTATGATGAACAATAGCATTTGAATCTTGACTTTACCAAAACTAGAAATTTATAAAGAATCAAATATTAAACAAAGAGCCTTAAATGCAAGACAACTAATATTGTTTTTGTAGAATTGTGGGTTTAAACTTTTCCAAGTTTTTAGTTTCCAATCCGTGAAGCATCACTAAAAATATAGATATTTTATGCAAAAGCAGTTTAAATTCTAGTAGTTTCAAATGTTTCACATAAAAGAAATAGCAGAATTTTAAATCAAAGGCATTCTCATATTTGTTTATGAAATGGCCTTTCGACAAATAGTTCAACTGAATTTCCCATTTCCACAAAACTCCATCTTCAGTATTAATGTTTCACAACCTAAGGAAAAAACACATTAATTAAGAATTTCTCTGCTCATTGATCATTTATCTTAATTTAAGGCTTGATTTTTGTTGCATTCGATAAGAGGGCTCAAAAATATATAATTGGATTTACACTAAAGTAGTTACAAATGGTTGAGAAACATTTTTCTTTTGTGAGCTTAGCCGGCAGGTAGAAACAACTTTTATTTTCAACATTTTCTCAAGTGACTATGGTTTGAAGTTTCTTGATTTGCCTCCGGCCTGCGACATGGTCAGCATATTTTCGTGCGTGTTGCACAAATTGGAAATGCCTCGCCTGTAAAATTTCGATTAGCCAACGCCTCGCCCCGCCTCGCCCCGCCTCGACTTGCCTCGCCTCATTCTCTTACATGCAAACGCGTTTTATGCCCAAAAATGTTGTTGCTGTGAATTCTTGAACTTGGCTGCTTGGCATGCCAACATGGCATCTCCACAGCTAACCCTTTTGCTGCGAAATCTGTTGCTTGGCCCATTACCTATGGCCTTATGCCATTTAAGCCATGCGTATTCGCTGTGCGTCCGTTCGGCTGTAATAAGGTGCCCGACGTTAATAAGGTTGACGTTGCTTAGCAACAGCTCAAACGGCCATATTAAGTCAGATCGGTACATGCGAGTATATGGTGAGTTATGCCTATAATGGATGTGTAATTTTCCGCTATTGGAAATAAATAAGTTGTAGCCTTAAAAGATAGTCTTGCTGAAAAGAGAGAGAGCAAATATTGAAAAAATATAACAACAAATAAATTGATATAAATTATTTATTGTCTCTGATCGTGGTATTAAAATTGTAATTTCCTTGCTTACTTAAAGCACCAGTCAAGATATTTGCCTGAGCAGTTCTATCGTAATCTGCAAATCGTAACATTAATGGAAAACATAACTAACTACTTGTAGGTCTTTTATTTGATAGCAACTTGATTTAATTTGAATACCATTTTCACTTTAATCTATTGAAACAAGTCTAAATTGCTATAAATACTCGTATGATTGTATAAATAATTTATACAATTTCTTTAACATTCTGCTGCAACAAAGTTCGAAGAAAACACTTTCTCTCTCTACCAAATAGAAAGGAAAACAACTCAAGTGCTGTGAAATATTTCCAAGCGAGTAGCTCACAATTTTAATTAAGTTTCAAACTAGTTTCACAATTTTCTCCATCAAATTCTACATAATCATTCGTGAATGGCTGAGGCACAAACCCGGTTCTAGACAGAAATGCGCCAAGGCACAAAATTGATTTTGACGCCTTTGTTCAACCAATCAGCTTGAAACAAATAAATTATCTTTAAGGTGCATACAATTTACATTATCACCGAAAAAGAATGTCATTAATAATAGAATATCTGCAGTATTTAAAATGAATTATAAAATATCTGATTTGTATCTTACTTTTAACTTTTTCTCTGTTTATGAATACTTTTTGAGTGTCCCTTTTCAATATTTTTTATAAATAGAATCAATTTTAATTAAATGATAAACAGCTTAAATATTATTAAATCCAGTCTATCAATGCAATACCTTGGCCATTTTAAATGATTAAATAGTTACAAAAAAACAAAATTAAATATAAAGTAGGAATATTTTATCAAATAAAGGAGCAAGTGTGTTTATTCATTCTTTGAAGACACCAATCATCACAACTTTAACAAAAAAGTACTGCAAATTAATGAAACAATTTTAAAATAAATAAATATTATTTGTGTTGCTAAAGAATGAAAGAAAAAGTGTATGAAAAAGTAAAGTAAAAGAAGTAATCATGGTCACAATATATTTTCAAAAGCAGCGCAATATAAGAAGATTGTAGTCTTCTTCTTAAATAATCTATTAAAACTTAAAGCCCATATATTATGTTGATTCTGAACCCAATATGCCCGTCTTGTGATCTCTTTAAGCTATTCGATTGATTGTTTGGTATACTCTAAGGTATGGTGCTGAAGGCCATTGGCTTGGCTACAATTTTCTTCTCAATAGTAGAGAGCTGTTTTGACCTTTTTAATGGCTTCACTGTAGCGGCGAGTCACACATGTGGCTGTGCTTTGCCAGCTTTTGCCCGAAACCCACTCAATCAAGGTCAATTAACTGTATCCATATTAAGCCACGCTGCTCGTCTACTGTGGCTATCATCATCATCGTCATCATCACCACCAGCAGCAACAACATTAACAGCAGAAGCTGAAAGCTGAGCGCGAGTTCCGCTTGGTGGGGGCGTTGTCATCGTCTATTTGTTATTTGGCCATAAAGCTATTAAGTGTGTATGCGTGTGTGTGTGTGTGCGCGTGTGTTTGCACTACAATTATATTTCGCCAGCACATTTACCTTGCTTGGTCAATGGAACTCGAACTCCGAGCTAAAGTTTTTTTTGCAGACGGGCTTTGAACTTTCAAGTGAGCGCCCCTCGCCTTCTAGCCCGCACCCCTGCTGACTGACTGTTGCTTTTTATTATTTTATACATATGTATATACTTTTTTTCGGTTAATGCTTCAGTTGTTGTTGTTATTGGCTTCACGTCATTTTGTCAAAACAATTTAATTTTGTTGGCTCTAGCTGTTTGCCAGTCGGCCGCAAAGTAATGAAGTATTTGTATGTGAAGCTCTTGACATTTTGATAAAGTGTTTACTTATTTATTTCCTGTGTGCCATATAATTTTGAATAAAATATTGCTGTACTCGTATGCTGGTGCTCCAATTCATTGCTATGAAATAGACTTCATACTGCAGATGGCTTTTAATTGTTGTTGCACGGAAGTTGTTGTGCGTACACACAACATGCAACATTGCAATGCTCGTCCGGCATTTTAAATAATTTACAGAGCAATTCAATTTCATGCCCAACATGCCTAGGCTTCCGATATCTTTTGAATTTCAAATTACCGAAAACAAATAACAATATATTACAAATTACAAATTTACTTTGCGTTTTATATTGAGTAGAAAATGTTTTCATTCAGATAAGGAGATATGTTTTGCAACTCTTTACTAAGTGTAGTTCTCGCTCTTAACTTTTTACACTTTTCTGCTGAAAGAGAGTAATTAAAAAGCAGATATTTTAATACGAGTTCAACACTTTAGGAAATAAGTCTTAAGTGTTATTAAAATCAAATAGCTCAGTCATCAGTTTTGAGCTATGTTTTTTTTCATTTGCGGTTCTTTCTACATCAATGTTTGAAAGCCACTTAGGAAACTGATTCATTTGCAACCACTTTTAACAAGAATTGTAACAATAACTATGATTTTTATTCAACTGCTGGCCTTAAAAACATTTGCATTATTAAAATATAAAAGCTGTATAGTTCTCTTTATGTATTTATTTGTTTATTTTTCATTCGCAACTGATTGCTTCCGCTTTTGTTAAAACTGTTCCTCAGCGACACATGGTGTACGAGTACGAGTATTTATTACAATTTCTCTTTTCGAAATGTACGAGTATTAATAAAACTGGAGGAATAAAATAATTTCTATAATGCAAAGAACTTAGAAACTAAATGTTGAAAATCTGTTTAAAAACTATTTAAAAATGTTCTTTTTATACTGCCTTTATATTTTTGGGATCAATGTAAATGTTGTAGGTTTCAGTTGAAGCTTAAACTATGTTCAGACATGCAAATAATATTGGCATATACTATAAATAGACTCTAAAAAGATAGTTTCAAAGAGGTTTTCAGCATCTAAAAACTATATTTCGGTGTAGAGTTGGGTTTTACGAAAATAACATCTTCTATACCTGTTTGATCATACCGTAAATCCTTCTTTAAAAACTTCGATAATATGAACTAATTTGGACTTTACATTTTTACTAATTAGTTTTTCTTTATGTAAAATTATTATTAAAAAATATTTTTGTTAACTTTGTTTCTACTATAGTACTTACATGTATATACGTGACTTGACACGATTGCCCATTTCCCATAACAGGATTCTTTCTTAATTTAAATCATTTATAAATGTTAATTTTTGAAGAGTTTTCCTTCCTTACCTGCCTGATCATACCTCGAAGCCATATTTTAAAGCTTCTACATTCTGAACTGATTTGGTATATCTAATTATTACTAGAATTTAGTGTAATTAGTTAGAGAATATTTCCTTATGTGATTCTTCATTAAGGAATACCTAAAATTATTATGGAAAAATATTTTCTTTAGATTTGT